GAAATAAATCCATAAAGTCTTTTGAATAGTTGAAACAAGGAATTAGTTGTGTCTTGACATACTGACTATCGTCTATCTAACTGATAATGAAGGAACTTTCTAATCAGTATATTCTCCTTTTAAATATGGAAAAATAGTTTCAGAATTTCATCCTGAACCCTGTTTTACAATTCAGAACAGTGGTCAATAAGCTACCTATTCAGGTGTACAAATAACACTTTTCTCTGAAGTAATTCCATTGAAGTACTTTCAAGTGTCTTAGCATTATATTTATCCGTAGGTTGTTTCAAGGCCCATAAAATGATGCCTTTGAAAAACAACTCTGTGAATATCTCTAGTCCCTTCTAAGCTTCTTAATGCTTTGAAGGTGTCAAGAGAAATTTTAGGGTTGACCAACATCCATCTGTCAGTAAAGGAGACAAATGATTTCTATGTTCCTTCCCCCTCTCTGAGAATATTTCTTGTAAACTGATCCACCTAACTAACAAGGATAACATGCGTAATACAATAATTACTGTGATGTTAATCATACAACCTTCTGCTTAATATTGCCTTCCATGATTTTGTGTTTTTAACGTAACATTACCAGATCTGTACAACTACTTCAAAACTTTTAATGATATTGATCAAACTCCAAGTGTATTTGCACTTCTAGCAGGGAAAAAAATCTCATCGCATATGCTTAGAGAGAAACTTAAAAATATTCGATGCGTGAGTGTGTGGATAATGTACAACTTGCGAAAATTATCATCGACTACAGAAACAAACATATAAGTGGGGAAACTTAACACAACCTTCCTTATAAAATCTGATTTTATCCAATCTTATGACTTTGTGTCAGCAACTGTTAACCTTTACGTGACACCATAAAATGGTAAGGTTACTGAATTTGAAGAGATACTTAAGTTTTAACAGAATTTAACCAGGCTATCTATCAGGTGGTGATTAACCCCAGTACCAGGCAAGCTGGGACATTTCATAAGTGAACACTGTGATCTGATCCACTGTTTTACAAATGGGGGAAACGCTTCTTTACGTATTTCATCAAATTAGTTTCTTTGTTCACAAATTAGTGGAATTCGAAGTGGTATTCAACTCTGACTAATTGGTAAATGCATTTGTTTGGTGCTTGTTACTTCTCATTGATATACAGCATCCAATTGCCCAACCTCTGTTGGCGGATGGGTTTCTATACGGATAGCTCGATGTCGTCGAATATCCACGATGTTTAATTCATCTTGCTGACCCGCAGTAGAATCCAGGATCCCCGCTTCGCCCTATTTAGGACGGGTCAGCTGGATGTACCTGTGCCACAGCAGGGATAACATCACTGCCTGGGGTGCAGTTACATTCAGCTAAAGAGTCCAAAATAAGACGAAATGCATGTCTTGGATTTAAGTACTAGCCACCAAGATAAATATGATGACCAGATTGTTTATCTGGTTCATCTACCAGTTAGGAGATTTCGACAGGAATACAAAGAAATCCTGTATTCTGATTATACCCTTCCGGACATCTATAGTGCACTGTCTTGGCATCAAAATGCAACTAGGGCTAAAATAAATAGATTAAATAAAATTAGCTAAATAAACCTCTAGCTCGCCTCCGGATGCTTTAGGTGTTTTGAGTTGTTTTAACAAGCATGCGTCCTAGCAGGTTTTGACGCCATTTTGCGCTCCCATGGTGCTGGTTAGCACGCACGTACTTAGAGTCATTAGTTCAGCCATACTAACCAGATAAGTTGAATAAACTTTTCCCCTAATCACTACTATCACATTTATTCTAATTAAATATATTCCTGAAACCAGTTCTTTTGATTTGCTTTCCGTTACCTGTACTTACACGATAGGTAAGGTACTGGTTAAGCAGGTACTAGAACACATCAAGTTAAGTAGGGTTGGTCAAACGTTACGTAATAGTAATACAACCAACACGCTCACTACACATCTAAGGAAACCCGACGTGGATTGTTGCGTTTATCATAAATTTGACAACTAGCTTAGAAGTAGGTTGTTAGGAAGAAGCTGTTAGTTAGTTAGTTAGTTAGTTAGTTAGTTAGTTAGTTAGTTAGTTAGTTAGTTAGTTAGTTAGTTAGTTAGTTAGTTAGTTAGTTAGTTAGTTAGTTAGTTAGTTAGTTAGTTAGTTAGTTAGTTAGTTAGTTAGTTAGTTAGTTAGTTAGTTAGTTAGTTAGTTAGTTAGTTAGTTAGTTAGTTAGTTAGTTAGTTAGTTAGTTAGTTAGTTAGTTAGTTAGTTAGTTAGTTAGTTAGTTAGTTAGTTAGTTAGTTAGTTAGTTAGTTAGTTAGTTAGTTAGTTAGTTAGTTAGTTAGTTAGTTAGTTAGTTAGTTAGTTAGTTAGTTAGTTAGTTAGTTAGTTAGTTAGTTAGTTAGTTAGTTAGTTAGTTAGTTAGTTAGTTAGTTAGTTAGTTAGTTAGTTAGTTAGTTAGTTAGTTAGTTAGTTAGTTAGTTAGTTAGTTAGTTAGTTAGTTAGTTAGTTAGTTAGTTAGTTAGTTAGTTAGTTAGTTAGTTAGTTAGTTAGTTAGTTAGTTAGTTAGTTAGTTAGTTAGTTAGTTAGTTAGTTAGTTAGTTAGTTAGTTAGTTAGTTAGTTAGTTAGTTAGTTAGTTAGTTAGTTAGTTAGTTAGTTAGTTAGTTAGTTAGTTAGTTAGTTAGTTAGTTAGTTAGTTAGTTAGTTAGTTAGTTAGTTAGTTAGTTAGTTAGTTAGTTAGTTAGTTAGTTAGTTAGTTAGTTAGTTAGTTAGTTAGTTAGTTAGTTAGTTAGTTAGTTAGTTAGTTAGTTAGTTAGTTAGTTAGTTAGTTAGTTAGTTAGTTAGTTAGTTAGTTAGTTAGTTAGTTAGTTAGTTAGTTAGTTAGTTAGTTAGTTAGTTAGTTAGTTAGTTAGTTAGTTAGTTAGTTAGCGATCAAACTTCCCGGCTCATCTGATACTGTGTCATGTGAGTGACTACAAAGTCAGTGGTTTTCGCTTCTGTTACAGCCAACGTTTCTTTCGAATAGCAATCATTATTCGTATGTGTATAAATCCATGAACTTACATAACTCAGTTGTTTCAATTCAACTTCACTCTTATTGCAAAATGTGAATAAGAAGATTGATTACGATCAGGACTATTTCTGAATAAATTCCACTTCATTAAATATCTAAAAATAGCATGCTTCTAAAGTGAACATTTTTGTAAACTGTGAGATTTAATAACTCTAAAGGAATTTTGTTAAGAATGATAATAAGGGATGTCAAAAAATTAACAATAGCCACAACATTATTCGTTGTAATCTGTCCTGTTTATTCGACAAATTAATCTACAATGGTTAGTTTACAAAACAGTGTAGTATAGTTATCCTACATTTTCTAATGCTACTTAGACGGATAGATTTACCCACTGAGTATCACTGCAACGGATAAGTCCTGATAAGTGCCAGTAGACATAAAACATAGGCTCAGAGCTTCTTAACGATAACCTCTGACTATCTACTATGAATCAAAAGACAAAGAAGTCTCTAGTTTTGTTTCGTACGTGAAATGAATGAATACATCACGGTAGCTTTCATCGTTTTAGGTGACCACCTGATGAACTGAAATATGTTCAAGATATTCTGAATCAGGATATTGGACAATTAACTTCATGCTCTGGGGTTAAAAGTAGTTTTCGCCAAATGTACATTTAGCAATGGAAAGAATCTTTACACCAGACTATCGTGATGTTCTACGAAGATTTCTGCCAGGTACATTACTGTATACCTCCTCAGTATTCTCAGTAAGTGTGTCTTCTTTTTTTCAAGAGTAATTCATGTAGTCCATGTGCAAAAGATTGGTGATATATGCTTAACATCATTACTTCAAATTACTAATTAGGCAGAGATAGCAGCGGTTGGTCATCTGCTTCTTATACATACAGAAGGATTCATGAAAACAGACAGAAATGTAAACTGTAGCAGGACTCGACCATGAATTGAAACACAAATTGAAACGAAATGTCTGTCTGTCCTTTTCATGCGTCGTTTGGACGACATTACTCCATGAAATAGCAACAATCTGTACATAATTGTAGCGTCAAGTTACTTTCATTGTAGAAAATTAATTACTGTAATTTAACATTCATCCAATCTGTGGTCAATGTAAGCGCGAAATGCTTAATTCTATCCTCAGAAAAAATAACCTAGTCTTTGATACATTTTCATTCATTGAAATTACTCGAAATCCAAGTATTGAAGACTAGAAGAAACAAAAATTCTATGTTTCTGCATGTTTGTATGCAAACAAACCGTACGCGCTTTAATTTGATTGGCATATTTTGATATGGTTAAAAATAATATGGCGAGAATGACTATCTAAGCATATTGTTACATTCGTTTACTGCCTTAACACTGAATGTCTAAGCAATGAAATTGGAGATCGATGCTAATTTAGTCAAGTTTTACTTCTTGTCCTGTTTTGTCTATATTCACATTACCTATTGGACAAGAATAATTTACAGTTTGTTATGCTTGTTCAATAGAAAATTCTACAACAGTGTAAAAGTATGCATATGTCACACATTCATTGGAGGAAGAGAGGTAGCCGAGATTCCATTTTGTTACAATCGTCGATTAATTTACAAACAGATAACGCGTACGCCTACACACAAGCGTTTCTAGACTACAGTCATAATCCCCCTTCTTTGCTTTAGCTCATACTTTTCACACACACACACATACACACAAATACACATGTTTACTATTCACTTTTTTCATGTTTTTTCATCCTTGTTTGCCTTTTCCATGCATAAATTGAAAAATAGACACGTGCTACTTTAAGTTTTCTATGGTTATGGTGTTAGGGGGGCTTGACTGTATAAGCTCTTTGATTCCTTTCGAAAGGGGGTCAGTGTTATTTTCGCTTTTAAACCGTTGTCACAGTAAATTGTGTCGCTCCGTCGATTTGTTTGTCTGTTTGCTTATTCGTACGTGTATTTGTGAAGATATTAAATGGATAGGGTGAGACAACATAATCATTATACTCCCTTTCGTTCGACTATACACTGCTAAGAGAATGAGGTTTTCGTAACAAATTGTTATAAATTCTTACAATGTAATCAATCGTATCATTCAGTTGTAATGAAAGTAATAATCATAATCACATACACCACCCAGATGTATGTACTTTATGATTAGTTTAAGAAATTCACCTCACCTTAATAAACTATACATACTTCCGTTACAATTATGAGATTTCCAAGTTAGTTAGTTGGCGGCAGACGTCAAAACCATTGAAATTGTTATTACTTTTTTTTAAAGAAGAAAAAGAGAAAGAAAGAAGGAGAGTAGCAATTTGTTGCACAATGAATGATTACACATATATGTTACCTGTTACCCAAACATTTGATACTACTACTACTACTACTATTATAACAACTAATAGTAATAATAATGTTAATGTCAATACTAATACCAATTATTTGACTACAACGACAGTCACAATTAATATACCAACAGAAAGTATTACTTGTAATGATGTAACAAATCCTCAAAAGAACTTTTATGCAACAGAAGGAGAACACTTTGAATCATTACAAATTTCATTGTTCAATACGCCTAGGTCGAATGCTTCAATTGTCAATAATGATGAATGTTATCAACCAAGTGAAAATGTATTGAAGACTAATGATCCTAGCAGTGGATTATATAATTCTAATTTTATACATTCTTCACAATTATGGCCATCCCATCAGTCAAACTGTGATGAAATAAACAAGTCAGAAGGCATTTATCCTACCACTGTATGGAATGCGGACAAAATGTTGACAAGAACACAATATAACTCAATAGAAATGAATCATTTCAATAAAGGTGATGTTGACTTTCTTACAGAATCCAGTTATCAAGATGGCAATACTACTACTAATAATAATAATAATCTTAGTAATACTGGTCTTCTCCTGCCAACCAATGATTCCTATGATTATTATCAACATACAACTTCTTCAGCATACGAAAGCCATCTTTGTGCTTATAATCTTCTGGGTAAATTTGTCGGTAAAACTGATCATCATCATCATCATCATCGACAGCAAGAAGATTCAGTGGTCTTGCAGTCAAACATAACAGAACAACAAACCCAGAATTCTTCTACACATTTATCTTATAATATATGTGATAATCAATCACTAAAGGATCATTCTACACGTCCAACCAGACTGATACATTCAAACGAGTAAGTTGATATTCTATAGGATATATTCGCTAGATTTCTGGTTTGATTATTGCTGACTGACTCTACACGAGTCATGCAAATCATTAGCTTTCACACAATATATTTGATTTGCAGTCTAATATAAAAAGTTGTATTCACTAGTGAGATAAGTCTCAGTTAATGTGATGCAGTTTCGTGGGCTGGTTATTGCTTTTTTTAATGAGATCTGCTGACGAAATAGGAACAAGAAAAACGATTTACACACTTATGAGTTCCTGTTGGATGATAACCTGGCGCGTTGACTGCTATTTGTTGAGCAACTGAACAACTGAATTTTCTAGCAGATAAATACTATTTGAAAGAAAGTTTAGTCAACACATACTTGGACACATTGTCAGACAATTTTATCTGACCAATAAATCTTCCGGTTATGTATAATTAGGTAATGACTTGTAAATTCTTGTATCATCGTTAGCAAAGACTAAAACAAAGTTTTTAATTTTAAACGAACTGTTATGAGTGTTCAACTGGTTACTTTACAAGATAATAGCTAATGTAACTAGGGGAGTAAATTACGTTGACGAACACTGTGTTTTCATCAGAAGCTTTAGTCTTATCACAAACAAGCATATTCTCCTTTTGAATATCTTGTACTTTCCATAGGTGAAAAGGGTAGAGATCCCAAACCAACGGCCAGGTCAAATAGCCTTGAGTAGATATGAAAGAACGTTCACTAGTCACATTACAAGCAGTGAATGACTTTCATTAGTCTCATTTTTTTGGGCTACACTGGAATAGTTCTAAAATCAGTATTCAGAATTCGCCGATCCAATTTCTAGTACACATACGAATTAGGGTCAACTTGAAGAACCTGACGGATGAAAGAACCATATTGATGAATACACATATACAAGCTGATTCCTCTCTCTATCTATGCATCTATCAGAAACTGGGAAAGTTTAACACAGTACGGTGATGGAAACTATCCTGTGCAAATATTTGGTTCATTTTTTGTTTTTCATATGACAAATGGCTTTCCAACCGCTCTTGATGTTACCGATTTGCGTCCTTTTATTTTTATCAATCTTTCGAGGTCATTTGGGTAGTGGACAACTTAAGATTGTAAATCTCTAGCTTCACTTCATGAGTTTCTCTCAGATTTTATGAGGTCTTCTGTAAAGGGAACTGTCTTTGTTTTAGACTTTTTTTGCATATTTAGATGACTTGGCATCGGTTAAGTATTCGATAAGGTAAGGTACTTAGTAATTTATTATACCCTCAAATTTCTTGTTTGTGTAATCAAAAAGATATTTAACAAACCCACTAACTATCTGACGTCTCCTTCTATACTGAAGTTTTGAAATTGTCTGCAATTGTGTTTTGGTACATCTTGTTAGTGACTAAGAGTTCTATTGATGATATACGCATGTTAGCCTGACGATGTCCATCCCCCAACTCTCCATCAAGTTGAGAAAGCTGCATCAAACCTGAAGCGATGCAAAGCACCAGGACCTGGTGGTTTGTCACGAAGTTTTTAAGGTTGGAGGTAGGAAATTTCTGATAAAAGTGACGGGGGCACTAGGCAGTGTATAGGAATCAGAGGTAGTGTCGTAAAACTGGTTTAGTTCACTGATCCTCCCAATCTTTAAGAAGGGGGAGAAATCTTTTTGTGACAACCATAGGGGAATTAATTTAACCAATATTGGGTCCAAGAACCTAGGGTCCATAGTAATGTGACGCGTAACTACAGCTCAAGAACAGAAAACTCAAAAAAACCAGGCAGGTTTAAGACCTAGTCGAGGGTGCGTTGATCTTATTTTCACTCTGACAGATTCTGGAACATGAGCATACTTACCGAGGGCCGACACTTGCCATATTTCTTGACCTGAAGGCATTTAACTCCGTCAACCGTGAGGTATTGTGGCAGTGTCTTACTGTGAAGAGAGTTTCGAGCAACCATATAATGCTTACAAAAGCCTTCTAATCGAACTCTTGCAGCCGTATCAGGGCTTATGGAAAGTAGTCATGTGAGTTGACAGTAACTAATGGTGTCCGACAGACATGTCCACAGTCACCGTTCTTATTTAGATTCATCACGGATGTAGTAACGGATATAACCTTTGGTACATTTAACTTCACAGGGGATTGACCCACTCCATAGAGATCGATCTGGAGAATGCAGATATTACTGTCCTGCTGGGTGAAGATACTGACGCAGCGTAGGGTCTTCTGAACTCCTTCAGAATATGTATGTTTGGTGTAAGTTTCACTGGCACTTGTCAAATATAGGGTGATGCTGCAGAATTGGTCTGCTGCAAGTACTCCCAGTTTAATGACAGGAGGTAAAGTAGTGGAATATGTGGACCACTAGAGGGTTGCTGACAAAATCTCAGCTCAGATACAGAATTCCCGATTGGCATTTGCCAACTTACATCATCTTTGGCGTCGGCGAGATATTCGGGTATCTATCAAAGGACGAGTATAATGCGCTGCAATTCGTTTTGTCCTGCTCTACGGTTGTGCGACATGGTCATTCGAATTAGAAGACATGAAGCAGTTGCATAGTTTCGATCATAGATATCGTCATAGCATTTGTCGCGTGGCTACTTCGCTGGTACACCTACAATTAACTTCATAATGCCTGTCGTACAATACAATGTTAAACATAAGTGATAATAGAAGTAGAATTATCTGCAGATTAGAAATCATTTATAAACACTACGATGCCAAAGTAATCCAACAAAGAAAATTTTCTTCTCGACAAGATACTTTCAGTAGTTACGCAATCATGTCCACTGTATTAATAAATGAATAGGTCGATTAATTGATTAAGAGGTGAACATTATGCCGTCAAAAATGGAACTTCTGGAAAGAAATATTAAACAGACTCTACAGTCAGAAAGAGACTGCATAATCTTAGGGGGTAGTAGGAAAAATAAGCGATTGATCACCATGGTGACTTTTAGGCTAAGATAAACAAGAATTACTTAGAGTAAAATATTACAAAATTTTAACAGGAAATAGATACTAATGTATATATGTGTAGAAGAGTATATTATAGAATAGGAACAATAACAATAGTCAGTTAATAAGAAAATTGAACGCACCTCTTTCCTATACTGAGCTACAGGTTTATTTGATGGATTACCAATACCCATGCTATACATAAGTAACGAATCTACATTCCTTTGGGACATTCGGTTTGACTTTCTGTAAGATTTGCAAGAAAAATGTAGGTAAATGGCTTGACCAGAGTTGGAGCCTCTTATTGGTGAACCAGGATTCTCTTTTTGACAGCCAAGTAGGAAAGTACTCATAAAAGTGTTTGAAATAATCGGGCTTGGTGAGGCCTACGTAATCAGGTCTAAAATGGCAGGTAAACTGACAGATATGCATACATGTGGCAAAAAGCAACCTTTTTGTCCTTCAAACGTCCTTGAATCAACTGTCGGTTGGGATGATCCATTTGTGATTCAGTTCCAAATGCTTTGAAAAGTAGATTTCTTAACAGTTCTACAGCGTCTTCACCACTTGGCTCAATATTCATGAATAAGATCTTCATAGGGACAATGACGACTTGTTCTTACTGTTTCCGTCTCACTTTTTTTGCAGTGAATCTCGGGAGGCAGGCTTTTTGAGCCAATCAAGGTAGTAAGTATAGTAAAAATAGAACGGAAGGTAAATGGGAGATGGTGTTTTTTGTAGTGACAAAAAGAAGTGGGTAACAAAATACGAAAAAAAATCTTTAAGTTAAGCCTGAGGTAAGTTTTACAAAGTAAAATAAATTAAGTTTTTTATAGCTGATTCGATGTAAATATAAATTGCATTATATGTTTTCACAATTCCTGCCTTTTCCCTTATACTAGAAATGCTCGCTTACAACAACACCAAGCATTATCCAATGCTCTGAATAATCCAGTTTGCCAGATTCCTAATCCAATCGAGAATACGACACCAGTGAAATATCCAAGAATGAATGATTCTCACAATAAGTTTGTTTATCCCTTGAAAACAGGAATGAGTAGAAGACATCGATATCCAAATCACAAAACACTAGGAAAATGTTCACATTTATTTCACACTCAACAAACATATGAACCTGAATATCATCGTCAAGCGCCTAAAACAAACAGATTTATGCATAAGTTTACACATCATACTACTGACAACAATACTGTTGGCAGTAGTAAGAGTCACAGTTTAAAATCACAAGATCGACAATTTCCTGTTGACAATAGTGTTTGTCAAATAACAAATTCATATGTTAATGACAATTCATTTAAACATTTAACTTCTATTGAACATGCAACAAACCCATTGAGTGATGAATTTTATTCAAAACTGAAGCCAAAAAACCCAGTCATATCATCTAGTAGCACTAATAGTAATATACTGTCACGTTCACCGTACAAATGTCGTAAATGTAAAGGACACGGTATGTCGGAACCAGTTAGACAGCATAAACGTAACTGTCCATTCCGTGATTGTTCATGCGATATGTGTTATCTTGTTGAAAAAGGTCGACGGATAGTTGCTCAACAGATTGCATTATTTCGTGATCAAAAAAATCATAATTCACAAAAATTTTCACATACAAAATATCGTTCATCAATCAAAGAGATTACAATCATCAAAGGATCATTGGATAAAATCACTGAAGAGATTGGACCACATTGTCGCCGATGTCGTAATCATGGTCAAAGTATTTCATGGAAAGGTCATAAAAAGACTTGTCCTTATCGAGAGTGTTACTGTAGTCAGTGTATCTTAATCTCATTACGTAAATCGAATGAGAAGGATTTAAGTAAGTTGAAATTCTGGCATTTTGTAGATTAAATTGATCAACCTAAGATTTAGTAATGAACTCATGATGGAAATTTTTCGAATTGATTCTTACAGTGATTATTGATAACCTGAAAAGTTACTGTTCTAATTTGTCTTTTGAATACTTATGCCATTAATATATTTTTTATGATAAGGTTGTATCTAATTTCCGTAATGTATCTGTCATGATAGTGGTTTTAATTAATCCGCTTTGTTACTGTTTAGTTGAGCATTTTAGATTTAGTCATTTATCAGATTTTCTCAATCACGTCAAATTACGCCTCATTTTTGTTTTTTATTACTAGTGAACTCTATACTTGGATTTGTTCAGTTTCATTCAGTCTCATCATGATTCAATTGAGCTACTGCTACATTAGAGTTTGGGATCGTCTTCAGTACATTTATTTCAGTTCAGTTGATGTCTTCAATCGAAATATTGATCAGTCATTCTGTTCTATGAACAGTAGATGATATCTCGGTAGTGAAGTTATTCTTTTTGGTGGGATAACTTTCCTTTATTGGTTTATTGAATTTCTAAAATTAAAGATAGTGTCCAAAGGAGAAACCTTATGAGGTTAAATGGGAGGTTTGAGGTAGTCAATTAACTTTTAATTTATTGCTAAGCCTCTCAATTACCAACTTATCAGACTGATATTTTATATATTTTCCCCATCATTCATTTTATTGTTAACTTCAAAGTTATATTCAAGTCAATCACGATACTAGATACCTAAGAAGGTAAATGAGAATGACTACTTTATAAAGATATTTGAATGGCTTTCACTATTAGCCCAGTTACTTTGTTGTTACGATATCGCAGACATTAAAGGAATCCATTGACTGGAATTTAATTCCAGTGAACTCACTTTTAAGTGATTACTTTAGTTATAAACAAGCGCTTTTATTTGTGAGACTTTATGAGACTTCGAGTACAGAACTGGTTACCAAGTCACCAGCACCAGCGTTCCACAGACAACTAGAAATAGTTGCAAGCATACTGTTCCTCCTTACGAATGGTCCTAATGTCATTACTACTCAGACAACTTCTTCAAATTACCACTTGAAAATAAAATAGCTTATTTTTCATGCTATCGGGAGTAGAATACCTTCATACGAGGTCATATCATTTTACCGCAGAAGAAGTTAATGGATAAAGTGTTCCAAATATATAGAACAATACCTTCATTGAAGTCCAAATGCCTTCAAGAGTCGTACAACTTCATATAATGTAAAATTACAGCATGGGAATCTACGACTTTTGAAATGGTATGATTTTTCAATAGATTGTTTCAACAAGTTTAATGTAGAATATGCATAATTTAATTGATATTTGTAACTTCCATCAGCAAGGTGTATCTGTATGTTTAAGTTAACTGACTCCCTATGAGAGAGCAGCCAACCTTGTATAGCTCAGTTCTACAGTCAGAGTTGTTAACTGGCAAATAATCATTGTGTAACTGAGATGTACATTTCTCATTACCCGGTGAGTTATTTCTGTATGTATCTTTGTCTCATATTTCGTCATTTATGATCTGAATGGAATAGCCATGAAATCTATTGGTTTACATATTCAAAAGAACGTGGTTTTTCGTAATGTTTCAAATACAAATTGGTATGAATAACAACATGAGTGAATCTTCGGTTCAAAACTTCCTGACGTCGGAAAGTTTAGAATTCAAACTATTTGAAAGGGGGTTAATAAAAAAACTCAGTATTTCTGTCAATATATTGAAACCAAGATCTTAGGAAAGCTTTCACATAGTTTGTATAACCCTCTTTCCAAAGGAATGTTTCACTCAACAAAATATTTTCAAATGATAAAAGCACAGATAATTTAGGGCCCGATGTCATAGAATTCTAGCTGTTTATTCACAATCATGTGTTTTTATTTCTGTGAAGAATACCCGATTATTTCCTTTCAGTTATGAGTTTTCATATTTAACTGACTGAGTTAGCCATGGTTTGGCAAACTAGTTTTTTCTACTGGATGATGATTGAACGTGAAATAAACATTTGAACCGCGTCTGGAATCAAACCTCATAGTTTAATTGGTAGAGCATCGGACCGGTAACCCGATGGTCGCTGATTTGAATCCGGCCGTGGTCCGAGTTTCCACTTCACCTTAAATCATCACGCAGTATAAGAATCAGTTACCCCGAAAGTCAAGTTCTTATTTGCTGCTCATCCTTTAACTGAATCATTGAAGAAACAAATGTCTGAAATTCTTGTGAAATATAAAAATGGGATAGAACACCTTCCGGTTTACTCATAACTTATAACATTTTGGTATTATTAATCTTACTGCTTGTATTAGGTATTTTTCATAGCAGACTGATATCATTTGGGGAGCCACTGAAAACCTGGGGGCATTGCACAGCTGTTTCGCTCCAGTATGGGACTCTTCAGTGGCACGCACCCACGACTCGGCTAGGGATCGAACTCAGCACCTCTAAGTTTCACGGCGAATGTGTTAAACACCCACCCACTGGGTAGAAGTTCAACAGTCCACAGTTTCCGGCTTCTGTCATTGTATATCATACAGTAGCACAGACGAGTATCAAAGACGGAGTTCAACTAAATAATTTCTAGCCTAGCTAAGTGAAAGTCAGTAGATATTTACACTCCTCACTGTTGTAACTTCTGATATGGACTACTTGGAGATTGACTGTGGAATATGGAACGTGCGTTTCGTCCTTTTTGGCACCTATCAGTCGGATATACTTGCACTACATCGAGTGTTGTTCCCACTGAGATTCGAACCCAGTGCCCATTGCTTGAAACGTAAAAGCGTTATATTCTAGGCCACTGTGGCATCTTAGACTCTTTTTGTGCCATGGATGTCAGTTGTTGTTCACTGACTCTTGTAATTGCCCATGGCTATATTGGGTCAAATTGCTAGATCTCTGAATATCCGGGCAGTATCCAGGCATCCTCACAGAAGTCCGTATACTGACAGAGATCGATCAATACAATGGAAAAATACAAATATCAAGAAAAAATAATATCAGTAATCAACTTTTGATGCAGACATACACAAGAATCTGCTATTATTGATGAAAACGTAAGATTGAACTTTCTACTCGTTAAAAAGCCTAGACTTTGGAAGCAGGCAAGGTTTAAGCGTTCTTTCAATTTTTTCCTCTCAAATGAAACTATTTACCAGTTATTGCGATATCCAAAAGTAAATGTTTTTATTTAGATGAAAAACCTTTACTTTGAACCTTTAAGAAATAGGGTGTAGAGTGCCACAAACTTAAGTAATAACTTACCAAATTATCTTTGAGTTATGTCAGTGCATATATGTTGGGAATGGAATACGTAATTCTTGCAGCTAACATTTCTTACTTGTATTGCTTGAAACAGCTAGTATTTCCCTGAGCACATTTGAGAAAATAATTCAGAGGAGAAATATATAAATACTACTTATAATATGTTAGTAGTGATGCTTTAATTCTAGTATTCTGTCTCCAGAAACAAGAGACTCGATTTTATGCAAGTGTGAGAATGATATTAACTGACTGTTTAGAATCCTGTACAACAAAAGTGAATCAGTTTAAGTGGCTGCAGAGATAACAGCGATAATACAGTTTAGTAGGTATATCAGCGAAAGGCAGATGTATTTCTTTCAGTGATTCTTTTTAAAGCCAACTATCTGTCTATAGATTTTAACGTCTACTTTCCATGTGGGCTTAACGGAATCTATGGAGTAGGTCGGTCAATGTCTATTTTATTCGGAGAGCGAAATTAGGCCTTACGAAAAAGATAATTAGATGTGCATTTTTGTTTTTCTTCAAAATCTGGAAAATAATTACATGCTTTTGTTGAAATTATTGTTGTTATAAAGTTGTATCTGTGTGTAAAGTTAGTACATACTGCTTTGGAAGTTGTGAATCTAACTAAGACTACAGATAATTTTGAAGGGAATTTCCAGGAGATTTACAGCAGTATTATTCTGAGGAAGATCAAGTTCCACTTAGCAGAAGTGTGTTTGCACTTCAAAGGTCAGTTACATACGTCAACCAAACTGTATCCATGCAAACGGATCATACAACAAGTAGTAAAATAAATAAACAACCAAGAAGGATTAACCTTCCAGCTTAGGAGTACCAAGTTTATGATTAGACTGGGTTTCGAAGTGTGCTGAAACAAACATAGGCTCAAAGAGCTTTAAAACTGTCAAAACATGTTACAAATTATGCCTCAAATAATTCTCATTTTATATTTTTAAGATAATTTATGAGTTGAGTTGTAAATGGTTTTAATCCATGCTAAACTTTCAATTTCAATCCTCTGTTTGTCTTAACTTCATTCAGGAGAAGTAACGCAAGAGTTCACAGAGAACCGGCCAGAAAAAGGTGAAAAGAAATTGTCGTCTAAAAGCATGACAACTTCTAGTGAGTCAAGCACTCATTGTTTCAATGTAAAAGACCAGACAGTCAAGAGTTTTGGTTCAGGAGAGAATGGCCAGAATGTAACAACTCATTCATATGGACAGATAACATCTTTTCCAGACTCATTTTGCCTACCTTCGTGTACTAAGAATAGCGCCAACTCATGGATTCATCAGTTAGTCACTTCTGCAGTCAACACATCAGTGGGATCATCTTGTGGAACACATACCAACCACTGCGACAATTTACCCTGTTTTACTGATAGTAAACAAATGTTTCCACATGAAATATCGCCGTATCTGAAAGTTAATAACCCCAGTCTACATTCGGTTCTTCAGGGGACATTTACAAAACCACTCCGCATTCCTGGAAATCCAATGAATTTAGTCAAAGAGTACAGCGGGGTGACTATAGATTCTGCTGGCTTTAGAAATCATGAATTCAGTCCAGAAAAGGTAGAAAATGCAAATTCCATGCTTATAAATAATTGCAGTAACTTATCTGAAATCTGTTCTACGACAATATTGTCATCGACAACTGGGTCAAATAAGTTGACTGAATCAGATTCTAGTGTATGCAAGCCTTCTAACTTTTATCCAACACAAGAGTATTTCGGTTCAGGTATGACTGTTGAAACATCCATAAAGAACACATATGAATCTACTGCCGATCACGAATTGCCACTAAAGTCTAGCAACACAAGTAACATTACGGCTAGCAATCTAACTGATAGTTCAGATCAATTTTTAAAAGACAGGATGGTTTATAAACCGTTTATGAATAAAGATAAGTCAGAAGGATCTGTATTACATAGTTTACCTACTGAAAATCATATGAGAGAATTCTTTTTAAACAACCATTCATTTGAACTGGGCAAACCAGGTCCATGTAATGTTTTACAAAATTTTATCGAGAATGTAAAGCCAAGTAATGATTATTGCATTTATGCTAACCAAAATGTTAGAATTAATAATTCATATCCCTCTCAGATTGGGGAAGAACATTTACATAGACATCAAGATATCGATTCCTACTCTCTGGTTTCTTCAGGAATTACAAGTACCCAGCTAGATTACGTTCAGCCGCTAGAAATCACACAACCAACTCTTCCACTCGATTATTTTACACCTTCAGTTAACACCAATGAAAATAAACTTGTCGAAGCAACAGCTGCTGCACATCATGCAGCTGCCATGGCTGCAGCTGCTGCTGCTGCAGCTGTTGCACTCCATCAACAGAAACATCAACACGATTGCTGTCAACAGACAGAATATCACCAAAAAAGATCTGAACAGTTAGAATCTAGAACACAGTCAAAAACTCCACCGGTTACCGCTTCAGTTGTTCCCACAGAAGCACAGATTAACACTTTACACAAGTCAATAAATGTACCTCTTAATTTTTCAAATATGTATCATATTGTAAATAATAATGAAAACAGAGTTGGATATCCATGTGATGGTGTATTCGCTACACCATCTTTGTTCGAATCCACCAAGTCAGATCATACACAAATGATGATGGAATCAAATGAACAAGCAATTAATCCATTAATAAGGTGTCCACAGTCAATAAGTCTACAAGACGGTATCCGTAGAAATGATTTTAGTAAGTTCCCAAATGATCCTTTTCACAAAAATTATACTCCCACTTCTAATCTTTCAATCACTTGTTTACCTAATTCAGAGGAACACCGACAAAGACAACAACAACAGGCGTCGAGAGAGACATTTAATGTAAGTGAGCATAATGTTGTAATGGAAAATATCGGCTTAAAACATCCTGCAACAAAACTTAAGACTGCAGACACTGGCTATTATCATCATCATCATCATCAAAATAATCATCAGTGTCCTCATGATGGAAAAGAAGTTGAACACAATTCTAGTGTACAAATTAATCAAGAAATTAATAAATTACAAATCATACACTTGACAAATGCAATCATTTTACCACCACAACCACCTATACCACAAATACAACAAGAATTTGATGATAAGCATAAAACATGGTCAACATTTTATCCACCTTTCAAAACAGAAAAAGTGAATGAATATTGTTATACTACTGATGATAATAATAGAAAAGTAGATTTATTAAAGTATACAGAAGATGATGTAACATCTACAAGTTGTACAGTTGGTTCAATTTCAAATATTGAAACATTGAACTCACTCCCAACTGAGTGTAATAATCTTTTCAAAAATTTGGAAGTGTCAAATACTTTATTACAACAAATAGGATTAAGGGGACAAAAGACAATACAAACATGGAATGATGCTGCCTGAAAGGTTAGTCACTTTTGTGTTACTGATAGGTGACTAGCTTACTCGTTCATATTCTTTTGTCATTCATGTAGCTAGTGAGTTATAGTTTTAATTCTAACTACTCTTACATGATCACTTTCACTGGTCTTTCCGTTTAAAGAGATCTCATCGACCTCAACAAATTGATCAGGTGTGAACCACCCGTTCTTCAGTGAAGCTGGAAAGCCTCACTATTCACAGTTTATCTATTTTGAAGTTAAAGTCTATTGGTTTGCACAGACGTGGGACTAAAACTAGCCTGAACAGAAACACAAATGGAACATGGGTATGCTGACTTGACTATTGTTGGGACTCGAGGATTTCTTTTGTAATTCAGTTACTTACAACACTACTCACTAGCCGATATACCAGTTATTGATTGATGACTAGAAAACTACTGTCCAGAAAGGATCAGTAACTGTATTCATTACATGGGAGAGATAACAGAAACTGTTTCCCTTCAAACAAGAATATAAGTGTGTATAATCTTTTTTAAAGGAATTTTGCAGTTGGAACACCACTACTTGCTGCGAGGTAAAAACATGGAGCTGCCAAGTCTCAAATGGAAGCAAATGCGGGTCAAAATGAAATATAATTTTCCTAAATTGTTGAGATACCTGTTGGATTTTAATATTCCTACTAACAAAGTAAGAACAGGAAACTTTTCTTCATGCATCGAAATGTTTTGGATGCCAGCGGACGTGATATTTTGCATACAACCATTAATATACTACATCCCCAGTGTATATATACAAAGCTGTACATCTTAACGCTAAACCCATATCTCATAATAGAATAAGCTAAGAAGTGATGATATAAACTTGGAATAGAAACTAAAAACAGTCTGGGAAACTGACATTCTGTAGTTTTGATCCCTTCTCAGGACTGTATTTCTGAAAAGGTGACTTCAGCTAGCATTTCTTGCCACCTTAGGTAGAAATACTGCAAGTTAACTAGTGGTTTAAACTACATCTAACTGTCTAAAGTATTCGTTTCAAGAAAAATGTAATTATCACTGAATTACAGATGGAATCAAGTTGAATTAATGTGTCTTGATGAAAGTATACGATTCAGAATGTATCTTTTCGGTTGCCAGTACACAAAGAAATACTAAAATAAAGAAATTAAAAACAACATGATTTCTATTCCCTTTAGGTTAGTGTCCACTGGTTACATCTTGATCAGTTACTTCGACCATTATTTAGGACAGAACAATGACACCTGTTATGACCATCAATATTCTTATTATTCTGTGTATGATAAAAAGAAAGATGAACTTTATAAAGAAGCTAAAACATCTCCTTTCTAGTTGACTATAGTATATTAACTTTATACTGAAATGGAGAAATGAAAAATATACAGGATCTGTTTAGGTATCCATATTGTTACTCATTATTGTTTTATACATAGAAGTAAAATAATCAACATAATGTGCATTATTGCACCAAATGAAGAGAGTTTAGCAACTATAGTAAGGCAACTATTTATCTTTTTACTGTGGTATCTTATTATTTCCATTTTCATTATGGTTTTAAGTAAAACACACACACACACTAGTGACCGTGCTATCCAACTATTAATTAAACACATTGGCTGAGTTATATTGTAAACATCGTAAATATTTCTTTTTAGTACATACCTATACTGATTTGTTGCTTTGACTTGGTATTTACCAATGTGTAGTTACATTAGACTGACTAATACCCTAAATTAGTAACCTAAAGTGTGCGGAAGTGAACCATATTGTGCTATTCACAGACTTTATTATAATCATAGCCAATATAAGTCAGTAAGGCGAATTCTGAACTAACCATCAGAGGATTGTATGATTTCAGTGCGACTGATATTCTGCTGAGACTAGAACATAAGTTGCCGATAGCTTACTTTAAAAACCGCTGTGGAAGGCGAATCTACGATTTTAACTTTCAGGGAATGTTGTAATATCTCGTAATTTCAGGTTGATATTAATCATAGGAGGACTGGATAGCTATTTTATCCTAATATGGAACTTCAAGAGCAGTGCACACCCATGACCTCTCCAAGGATCGAACCCCGCAGCCAGCACGTCAACATTCAACCACTGGGTCTACACCCAATGCTGCACATATCCTACTTCTGACAGTCCACGATATAGCATGACCTCTATCTAATGGCGTCGTTGAGTAACTGTCCTCACGTTCGACCTGGTGGGTATCAGTCCATGACGAATATCAATCTGAGTCAATCAATAAATCTCCACAAACCCAGGAATTCAACTTTTCATGATTTCTCTTAAGTAATATATAATATCATACGGACTGAATTTTACCTAGAAATAAAGGTGTATGCGAGTACTTATATAGACATAGAGGTTTTCATTCAGTTAATGAATAGTTTGCTAGCAGAACAGTATTTCAGAGGGGAAAATCCTTCACAATATGAGGAAGCATTGAATGAACTGAAATCGCAGAATAAAACGACAATAATAATTACAGAAGAAAGTACTAAAACTACTGTTTTTGCTACCTATAAGTCACAAGTTTAAGATTTTGACATGTATACTATCTTTTCATTGTATTGTCTATAATTCCTTCCAATTACTTCTCATCGACAACTTGTTATATGTCTAACATCATGCCTTCGAAACCTGAAGGACTCTTCATGTGGTTATTTGCAATATTTCTGTGTTACACGTCTACAAAAAGTTGCTGTTCTTAAAACTGGGTAACATTTACAATTTTTTAAATCATTTGTCTCTTTCTAAATGACACTGTTTACTGTTGACACTGGTAACACCATTTGTAAAAGGCTTAATTGTACTTTTGATATGCGGAAGAGTTTTGATGTGAATAGGAGTTTTTTCTTTTACCTACAAATAATATACATCACAAAATATGAGCATGGTAAATGCGCTTTATCCATCTCTATTTAAGTCAGTTTACACTTCTAAATAATGTCCCCTATAACTCATATTATCAATCAGTTATTGTTTCTAAACATTTTTACGGCATTGTTGTATCAGTTTATCTGTTATTATCACATGTTTTTGCAACCTATTCCAACATGTTAGTTGGATGCAGGCAGTCTCTGGAAAACCCTGCTTAAACTGTGTGTCGTGCTTGTTGGGACTCTTCAACAAGGCATATCTGAAACCTTGAGGGAACTTATGTTTACTTTGAGATTCTAATCCCCGTCACCTAGTGTTGTAGTCAGGAGCTTTGTCGCTGAGCTATTTGGGTCATGACTTACCTCCTATAGAACTGGGTTGCATGCAATGACTGGTTACTGGGGAGAAACAAATCTCTTGCTGTCTAGCCGTAGGTTCTGAAAGAATTCTATCGATCATTTTTTTAATGTGGCCACCAAGCTAGGCAACTCACCGTAACGACGAGCTGGGATAGTTTTATATTATTCAACTTGTCAGCAGTCGTCATAATCGATTTCACAGGTACGAGGTTTTCATAAATATATCATTTGATTTGTCTCTGATCTTAAACTTGACATTTATGATATTTGAGGTTGTATTCATTACGGACGGATATCAGTTAGGGAACCACTGAAAACCGTGGAGCACTGGACAGCTGTTTCGTTCTAGTATAGGGCTCCTAAGCAGCACACACCTACGACTTGGCTAGGGGTTGGACTCAGAATCTTCAGGTTTCACGGTGGTCGTGTTAACCATTCAACCACTGGGTTTGCAGTTTCCAACTTCTGTGAATTAGCGATACAGTGTGACTACCACCCATGCGCTCCCTTTTCGACTGGTTTACCACACAGATCACGGCTTGTCATTAAAACTTAGGGATATCCATCTATAAGCATGTCACTAATGAGCACTACAGAGTTATGGTATTCTCGCTTAGTTGACTGGAATTTCAAGTACTTACATGTTTATACCACCACAGTGTCTTAATCTAAATCGAGGCCTGTGAATGAAGTTGCCTTGTTTCACTGAACGCAATACTCTCACTTGCTCCTTATCTAATCAATATCTAAAACAAATGGTCACCCATGACAACTTTCATGGACAAACTTTTCATTATCAGTGTTCATTTCAATCACTTATTATTGTAGGTGTGTTAACTTTATCCGGGAATCGAATGAATTTCCTAAGTATACAGTGAACGACACTTCATGTGAATTGTGTAAGGTAATACTGTAAAGAGTAGTTATGTAACGAAATATCAGGTGAATTAACGGGGAAAAGTAAATGGATAATTAAAGTTTCGGAAGAAAACTTGTGGTAATTAAAATAAGGGTTTCATGATAAATAAACACCAAGTCTTTCCGTACTGTTCTTAGTTTTGCTAAACGCACAAACCTCTAGAGTAGGGTTGTTGCATGAGTATACTGATTATTAGCTGTTTGTGAATATTGTTTCATGACTAAAATCAATTTCTCTCATAAATCTGAGTCTGTACTTATGTTATATTATGGTCTCAAAACCAAGTGAATGACTTCGTTAATAGTTTGTGAAAAAAGCATAAGGAGTAGATCATAAAACATATTTACAAAGGTAGTGATTATCTACATGCTAAATCAAACATTTCGTTTAATACTCTCAATTATGAATACTTTTTATACAGTTCTTCGTATTCACGTAATTGAATAAAGCAAGAAGAACACTATGTGACAGAATATGAACGCATTTATTTCACTGATTCTCTTACTACAGCTAACTCACAACAATTAAAAGTACAACATTCATTGCCAGAAATAATATACACAATAAACTTTTATTAATTTGACAAACGGTGGAAGACGCTGTCAATGTGAGCTAGTCCAACTTAATTTAATCAAGTTGTTCTGAAGACTATTTGAAACGTTCCTTGATAAAAGTCACAAGAGGAAGAACAACAATTGAAGCAGTATGAAATGGATCCAATTTATTTTGTTGATCGTTATCTCGTCAACAGTAAACAGTCTAGAATATTAAAATGCATAGTTTGAACGGAAATCTTGCATATATAAGTATTCATTGGAGCGAAAATCGGTCAGTAATTGAA